AGCAAGGTCTAAGCTGCTTTTTGATGTTGCTATGGATGGTATAAATGAATTTATACCACCTTATATAACTATAATTGACTTTAAAAAAGGGGACTTGTCCTTAGATGCTTTAGATGTTATAGCTGCTTTTTATGACACTATAGCAATATAAAGTAATATAAAGTGATAAATGACATCTACTGTTTTTCCTGATGACATAGCTCAATCAGCCCATCCATTACTCAAAATACCCTTACTAAAATATATACTTGGCCAACCCATATCATACAGGATTTTGTCACACCTCAGCCCATCTGTACCCTACAACTACAGGCTGTAGGTCGGCTGATGATCAGCTGTCCATATGCTATGGTCCAAAGCACTGACAAAATACAGTGAACTCCAGAACCAGAACATCAACTCCGCATTTCTGGAATGTCAGAGTTCATACCTCCGCTCCACTGCCAGGTGGGACCACTTGGAGTTTCAGCGGTTGCTCAGAATCCATGCAGAACTTGTGTGGACTTTCATTGCACCTCATCATTCCTTTCCTGTCATCACTCCCAAGCCTCCAGGGACACTCCATCACTTTCTTACACCACTTAATTCCATCTTCCCCTTGTTCCTGTTCTTATTTCCCTGATTATCATTAGTGAGCACTTCTCCGCCCACTCTGCTACATACTTATACTTAGTTTTCACTTCAGATTCTTCAGTCATTCTTTGCCCCTCTTTGGCAGCAGCTGAGGTGAGTTTACTTCATACCTATTTACTACTCCTAGCTAATTCCTAGTAGTCTGGGCAATCACTGCCCTATTATAGTTTTTGTCAAGCACAACATTATGTGGCTGTGGCCATGGCAACTGCCCAAAAGGACTTTGGGAGTCAGGATTCCTCCAGCATGGTATTTGCAAGGAGGGATAATGTCTAGTTCATTCACTCCATTAATTCATTTTACTCCAGAGTGTAGGGAGTGGAGGTCTCATGCAGAGTTCTGTCCTTTTGGAGTTGTTCTCAGAAGGCCTCATTCACATATTCTCCCCCTCTGTCACTCCAGATGAAGTCCATGTAAGTGTCAGAGAATTTCTCTTGTCCAACCTCTGTGTGGAAGAGTGTTTTGACATTGACTTTCCAGAAATTGTAGATCTGGAGTGCTTCCTTCTTGTGATTCATGAAGTTTATCCAAGGGAAGTGGCAAAGTCATCTATGATGATGATCCAGTACTTGTACCCTTCCTTGGATTGAGGAGTCATTGGACCTCTGACATCCATATGGACTGTTTGGAGTGCTCAGGTGCATTGGGTTCCTCTAGGAGTTTGAACAGGAGCTTCTTCATCTTTCCAAGGATGCAGACCTTGCAGAAGGACAGAGTTCTGTTCAGGACATTGATCCCCCAGAGTTGTCCCCACTTGACCATGTGTTGGTAGAGAAGGTTTATGTCCACCACAGCATGCGCCACTTCCTTTGGAGATTCCGGAATTACATTTGCATGGCACTGTAGTAATATAACCCTAAGTTTGTCACATGTCACAAATGGGGGGAAAAGTCCTCACCAATGTGCTCCGGTAAGAAATTGGGTTATGACCTTTCAGATTTTTGTAAAATTAATGAACCTAAGGTCATATTACCACAGTAAAGCCCCTGTCAATGAGTTCCAATGAGTACTGGAGTTCTTCCCTTTTGGATGTAGCATGTGCCAGGACTGGCTGGGAAGACAGTAGAGAGTCTGGCAGTGGAAAGGCAGTTTATGGAGATGAGGGAAATTCAGAACTCCAGAATGAGTAGGATGTTGGTCAGGATGATTTTGTACTTCTTTCTGGAGATGGTGGAGAAGAGTGTGACAGTTCCAATTCCAATGGTGGAGGTGGTGGAGTTGTCTCCAAAAACAGCAGGACAAGGTGGAACCAGTGGGGAGTAAGTCCAGAACCAGGACCAGTGTGGGACCATGTGGGAATTAGCTCCAGAGTTGATGACAATGGCATTTCTCCCACTGGCCTTGGGTTTAGACAACAAATAGGCAAGAACATGTGCCATTTAAGACTTGAATACACCTTCAGTAACTATGTTTGCAATCTCCAGAGTTTTAGGGGTAACCTCTGAAGTGTCCTCCATTGCATTGGCTTTCTCCTTCTTTTTCTCCCATCTTTTTCCTCCTGCTCATTTTCTCAATTCATTCATCCAATGCTGGTAAGCATAGCAGTCATCAGAGTTGTGTCTGGACTGTTGGTGGTGCTCGCACCAGGCAGCAGAGTTGGGCAGACAAGCAGAAGACTTATTGGAGACCTTGAGGGTGGAGTCTGAGGATCCAGAAGGGTTGAGGCATGCCTCCTCCAAGGTGTTTTATTTATTTATTCAGGTTTCCATGGCATAAAAAGTGAGTTTGCTGTCTTTGACAGTGTTGATGATGGAGGAGGTGAACATTTTCCATTCTGGAGTTTTTGGAAGGGAGTTTAGAAGGACAAAGGCAAGGAGTCTGCTGTCAACCATGAACTTCATTCTGGAAAGGTGGGCTTCCAAAGTCCAGAGTGATGTGATGTACTCAGAGATGGCAGAACCTCCAGACCATGCAGAATTGAACAGCTGTTGGAATATGTAGAAAGCAGAGGCAAGGTTTGATGCTTGGTGAATGGATAAGAGTGCATTGAAGAGGTCCTGGGCAGTGGTATGCATCTCCATCTTGAGTAAAGGGGCATCACTGATGCTGTCCTGAATGATTCTGTACACTCTCTCATTCTGTTCCATCCATTTCCGGACTTCTTCCACTGTGGCTGTGCCAGAGATCATCAGAGTTCCAGATAAGGTAGGAGGAACAGTTGAGGGACCAGGAATGCTGGGGGATGTGGCAGGAACAGGCACAGTGTTGGTGGTACCTGGAATACTGAGGGATGTGATTGGACAGGTGTCAGTTCTCAGGGCCACACCTAGGACTCTCTCCCTCTGAAGTTTTGCTGTGATCTGGAAGTTTGAGGGACTGATCAGAGTTGGACATGTGGGTGTGTCAGTGGATTCTGTATTGGGTGACATGGTAGAAGTCCTGAGGGTTTGGAGTTTGTCCAGATGCATGCTGAGGGATTGTGTGAGAGTTGAGTCATTCTGGAGAGGTTTCTTTCCACTAGTATGTGCTAGCCCCAATAACCTGACAAAATCTATAATAGGGCAGTGATTGCCCAGATTCAGCTGCTACCTAAGAGGGGCAAAGAATGACTGAGGAATCTGAAGTAAGGAATAAGTATATATATGTAGCAGAGTAGGCAGAGAAGTGCTCACTAATAATAATCAGGGGAGTAGGAACAGAAATAAGAAGGAGATGTAATTAAGCAATGTAAAGAAATTACAGAGCATCCCTGGAGGTTCAGGAGTGATGATAAGAATATAATGATGAAGTGCAATTGCAATGACAGTCTGCACAAGTTCCAGATGGATTCCAAGCAGATGCTGAGACTCCAAGTGGTTCTGCCTGGTGGCAGAGCAGAGGTATGATCTCCAAGTTTCCAGAAATGCAGAGTTGGTGTTCCAGTTCCAGAGTTCACTGTATTTTGTCACCTGTGACAAAAATTACCAGAAAAATGGACTAGACAGTGATTGAGCCCATGGCCTCCAGCATAGTACAGTGGTGCTCTTCCAACTGAGCTATCAGTCCATTGGGACTAGATCCTAGCTCAAGCATCAGTGGGAATTGGATGGTAAGCACCATGCCCACTACCATTTGACACCCTTGATGTACATCAGGTGCCAATCAATCTGACATTTCCAGTTGTGTGCATGGCTGTGAAAAGCACCAACCATAAAATGTAATTTGAGGGTGTGTGCCTTCAATCCCAATACACTGTTCTTGACTGTTTTGGAGAAGGCACACTTGATGTCATATGCACAGCAACCATTGGCTCCATAGATGGAAAGAAGGTGGTCAAAAATTGTGAGGGGACATTTTGCCCTGAGTCATGATTAGCAAGTTATCAGCTATAGATAGCATCAGCTCACACATACAGTTCTCCACTTTTGATCATGTCACATGCAAATAAGACAAAGTGATGTCAACAGGTTGCAATGAAAATTCCAGAATCATGGAAGACAGAAAACATCTTCTTGCATTGCTTCAGTCCTGCATTCCACCATTGATCTACACAATTGAACTGGCTGGGGTTGACAAAATACAGTGAACTCCAGAAGCAGATCACCAATTCCACATTTCCAGAAAGTTAGAGATTGTATTTCCACTCCACCACCAGGTGGAACCACTCAGAGTCTCAGGGTCCACTTGGAATCCATCTGGAACTTGTGTGGACTGTCATCACACTTCATCATTATCTTATCCTCACTCCTGAGCCTCCAGGGGCACTCCATCATTACTTTACATTGCTTAACCCCATCTCCTTCATGTCCCTGTTCCTATTCCCCTGATTATTATTAGCGAGTGCTTCTCCACCTACTCCACTCCATAAATATACTTATTTCTTACTTCAGATTCCTCAGTCGTTCTTTGCCCCTCTTAGGCAGCAGCTGAGATGAGCCTATTTGATACCTATTTACTACTCATATCTAATGCTTAGTAGTCTGGGAAATCACTGCCCTATCATAGATTTTGTCAGCAGTCAGGCAGAGTTTCGGTCTATCTGACATTATTGAGAATTCTCAGGGTATAATAGTAAAAAGAAACACATACTGTTTGGGATTTGACTTCATATTGGAATTTGTCAATGTACTCTTCACTAACCCAAATATCTGATTGTGCAACACAAGGATCTTCACATGAGACAGTACTGTAATGGGACTTGTCCCATTGCTTTAGGCTATTGTTCCCATCAATAAAAACCAGCCAGTCGAAATCAAGCTTTGGTTTGTTTTGAAGTCAATAAAAAGATGGTGGACAATGTCAGAATCCGGTTCAATCCCTGAGTTTCCAGAGCAAACCCAAAGAGTCAGGGATCGGGGAATCGGTAAGGGGAATCCAGAAGTGTCAGGTAGGTAAGAGACTGTGGCTTCAACGTATGTGTTGCGCCCCTGTACGAGTTCTGTCTCTTGATTTCAGGTGAGGGTCAGAATTAAGTCCCGAGTTCAACTCAAGGACCAGAGGAGGTGATTCAGAGGATCAGAGGGTTTCTGGGATTGAGATCTAGCTGATATTTGAACTGAGGAAACATAGGGAAAGTTACAAGGGCTTATATACTAGAAATTGGAAAGGATATATATGGATTAGCATTGGGGTGAGGGAATCCTGATGTGCAGCGGAAGAAGGCTATGTCAGGATTACTAATGTAAGGTGTGCGGATGATGAATGGGAATGTGGGATTAGTAAGGAGGAAACAATGATGACAAAGAATGGAAACATAACAGAAAAGGACATAAGACGGATATGATTACTAATAGATGAAATCTGAGGATTCAGGAAACGGAAGATGGGAAACAAGAAGAGATGTCTAAGTACAATTGGGTGTTCTTGGGATATGTTGGAAATCGTCAGAAAGCATTGGAAAGCGTTGGAAATAGGTTGGATGAGATGGGGAAATTACAGGATGTGACAGACAAACATTTAATAGTTGCCAGTCTTTTGTATTGTGTTCAAGAGCCTTGCAGATGCACTGTTCAATGTCATGAATGATTTTGAGATATACATCAAATGCCCATAAGAACTTAGTACACAAGTGGGGATGGTAAGGCACCTGAGAAGAAAGCAGGGTCAGAATGCAGTCATAACTCAGACCCATTGAGGCTCTTCTCTTACATGATGGGGATGACATAACGTTTTGCATTGCACCTGGATGGTGAAGCAAGGACAGGTTTGATGGGCTTAGCAGAAAGCAGAGTGTGTGAACGTAAACAGCAACCATTGGGAAAACAGGAGAACAACCCAGGTATCCATGTGAAATGAGATTCTCATTTGGGAAAAGATGGTGAGGACATGGGGTGGGAAACACATGAGAGGAAAGGCAAAGTGGAAAATAGAGTTTCAATTTTAATCTCAGACACAGCCTGGCTCACAACACACTCAGAAACAAGACAACTTACAACCAAAGTTTGCACTCTGTTGTTAAAATACAATTGGTATGCATACTTGTTATAGTAGCTTACCTAATCATGTGTAGACTTGACACCTCAGTGACTTACCAGTACACTGAGGTGAGTAGTACATTCATACTACCCTTATTTACCATACTTATCTTCTATATAATGACTACATACTGAGGTATACTATAGGTCCTTTAAACCTATTTACAGGTTTCTACATCTGTGTCACTATGGCAAATCATATGATGACAGCATAAGAAGTTTTCACAGTGACTGAGCCCCACCATGAGAATGCATGGCAACAAAAAAGTGCAGGCAGAGTGCTAAAAGGCCCCTGTGGATCTAACAAGGTGGAGTCTCCCACCCCTCACTTGTTCTACCCATATTGCAACCAATCCAGCCTGGGGTTGCCACTCTCACATGGTCATGGCCATGACCTGAGTCAAATCCCTAGGTAGGGCATTAGATTGGTAGTTGGTACCCTAAGCATCAGCCAGATGGACTAGTGGTAGGGGCAGCAGTGAAATCCCCCTGATGAGAACTGTCATGAGTTCAAAACCACTGAGTCTGCTTTCTTTTCCTGCCTCTTGTCCTACTGTACACATGACCCACCACATGGTCCAGTCCTTATCCTCAGAGAGGTCTGTCCCAACAGATGACTAAGCAGGGTGGACAGCCCAGCATGTCCTCTTGTGCAGACAGACCAGGCACTGTGGCAGCATGCCTCAGCCACAATACGGCACAGTTTCGGGTTTCCGAACGGGCTCTAGGTGGTCTCAAATGGCACTTTTGTCACAGCAAGTCACACTCACGTGATGTTGGATGGATGCGCACAAGGCCGTAGTACCTGGACCTAATACCAACTCGTCCACTACGCTACAGTCATCATGGCTTCCCAGATGTTCTTGGACGGTAGTCAATTTTCTCTCTTTTTTGCGCCTGATTCTCACTGGTCTCCTAGCTCTCCCAAAAGCCGAGGGCCTTCTGCCCAAGTGGCAACTCATCGTAGCCACCATGGCTATTTTCAATACCTTTCAAAACTTCTTGACCCTGAAGTTGACGCGTAGACTTTATGCCGGTGTACTACCTGCTTCCAGTATGCTTTTTCTGTGCGAGATGACCTTACTCATAACACGGTTTTGTAGTCACTGCACTCCAAGCCCGAACATTCGCAGTGTGGACGTTGACCTCTGCCGTTGTTCGCGGATATGCTGCCTACAACATTCACAACAAAACGTTTGTAGCCCTTCCAGCATGTTTTTCCTATGCTAAACGGTCCTAGGATATATGACATGGCCCTGTTCACGTACCTCATTGCTTTCGGCCACTTTTCATCCGAGTTGCTCATCTTCCGTACTTGCAAAATCAATATGCCAGTACTGAGCCCAATAATCGTGTCAAGTTGAGTGTGTCGATATCCAGTTAGAGATTGATGCCACTGACAGGACTTTGCAGCTGTCACGCTCGTCTGGATGTTACAGCAGTATGAGTTTTATGTCAAAGCATGACCAGCTGTCTTAGTCTCGGAATACTGTAAGACTGGATTAGAATGCTTCATATGCTAGTTTTCCCCGCCATCCTTAGTGCGTTTGTATGCGAACTACGACCGACAACCCTGCAAGGTACACAACAAAAATACCCAACGAACGTTCGTCGCTTAGTGGGGCAGAAATGGACCAGCTGATTCGAGCAAAAACTCACCAGGTTGGTCCAAGTCCGACATCAGAAACTTGACAACGCGAAAAAAGCTGCACAAACATTCGAGAGTTGACCTATGGTGCAGGTACGTGGCTCTTTTTGGAATCGCTTAGACGCCTGTCAAGCCAATGAGAGACTTAAAGAGTGTAGTGCAACAGTAATGTTAGTACTACTCGGCCGCCTTTGAGATGGACTTTGTTGCTTACGAGAGCCAAACTCGTCCCCATTTTCGTGCGTTAATGTCTGTGGCAAATTGTGACCCACGATGAGACCTCGCTAAACCAATGCCTCATCTCGGCTAGATCGTGACAATATAGGCTATGGTGAAAGAACTTAGGACCTCCGTTCGCAGAGCGCACCACTTCGCAATGTATCATAAGCTGCACCATATCGGACGAAAAATACGCCATCGTGGCGCCAGTGCATGGGAACCATGGAAAGCGAGGTGCAAACCTTGTGAGCCCCTGCCCCCATATTACCCCTAAGCCCTAAATTTTGACGTACGCCATCACACAGAATTACCCTGAAAGCCAGCATCTGACCGCAGAAATCAATAGAAAGGGCCCCGCATATGTATAATGCTGGCATGACCTTCACGTTTGATCAACCCCAAGACGAAGAGGGCGGCAAGTAGAAAACATTGAATTGGATTTCGAAGACGTATCAAGGTAGGTCCCCGCAGTACTAGCTTGTGTTGCGATTTCGAGTTGTTACTTATTATTCTAGGGGGGATTCGTTTTGGAGGTATACAGACGCCGCGCATACTGCCCGAATGAGCGCGCGTCCGATGGTAATGAATCCGCGACAATGCGAGTGTTGGAATTTTTGATTTTATGTGCCACCCAGTCAATTGAACAAAGGAGCAGAAAACCGCGGCTGCAACTATTCCGCGATGGCCGTTTCAATTATTGGTGAGAATCAAAAAAGGTGTGGAGG